CAGAAGACAGTTAAAAATCATCGCTCAGAGATTTAACAAAACATGGCATGCAGTAAGCATGTCTTTCGTGGTAAATTTGCATGCTAAGCTGGAGCTTGACAATGTTTGCTAACTTATTCCTGGTAAAAGTTAACGCAATAATACTGGAATATAAGTTCGGGCAAAATTGCATGCCAACCAGAAGCGGCACCGCGATAATAGTTGATATAATCATGTATAGGAGATTAAAAGACTACTGCTGTTTGTAACTTTAATAAGTTATTTCCTCTGAAAAATGAAACTGGCAACAAAGAAAATAATGTTGCTGATACGATAAGCGAGAATAAGGAGAGTCTATCGAAAAACTGTCAAAATAACTGAAACCTTAAGCTATGCAATCTGAAATGCAATTCATCGAACCGAACTTCTAGACTCATTGCTGACCAGCAATTGCCCTTCACCCTGGACTGTCCATTAAGACCCAAGTTCTGGCGCGAAATCAATAGTTAGACAACTACTAAAATTGAATAACGCTGCGGGACCAGATGATCTCCCCAAGGCCCACTTCAAAATCTGTAAAAGTGCTTATGTGGAAGATATACACTACCCTAAATTATATCTGTGGAAGTAGGAAACTGTCCAAACCGAAGAAAATTGATGTGCTATTGTACCTGTTCTGAAGGGTGGCTGATGTTCTCAATGCAGCACTAGGCTCCGGTGGCTTGGACATATGTTGCACGCGACATCTCGCTAGTCGACTGCGTGACTAGCGTCAAGAATTGAGGTGGAGGATAGACCAACCGAAAAATTGATCAACAGGAATGAAGACCCTCACTTTGAAAGGGACCTCGCTTATTCCCCCTGATTTCTGTGATGGATATGTCTGCTTGGATGCACTTGCTGTCAAGGCAAACACTGACCATGATCTTTCTCCAGCACTGCTATATCAGTCTCCCCTTCCAAGCACTATCTCAAACCACATGAATAGTATGAAACACAACAGGAGCACATCTGAATGTACTCGACCTATCTTACAGATACGCCACGCGGTTAGGATTCGTGTAAACTTGCTTCGTAAGTAATTTCAAGTATATTTGTTTATTTTCCGAATAACGTGAATGATGAAATATGCACGTATATCCATTCAAATGTTTGCGTAACAAGTGTTTGCAGTCCCCCGCCATTCTATCACTAGTTTATCGCATTTACTTCATTGGTGATACCAAATATGACCTGGAGTAACGCACGACATGAATTTGGGCATTGTTAAAGTCATCAACTCGCCGCTCCGCTTCCAATAGATGCACTTAAAAATTTTGTGTCAAACACATATTTGTTCTCTGGTATCAAATTAAGGTGAAATGCATCGTTTATGCTTAATACTGCTCTGAACAATTGCAATGTGTAGTTAGAACAAAGTATACAACGTAAAATGTAGGATACTATATACCACAAACTAGTAATGCCAAGCAAGTCGGATATAAAATTCTATTTTAGGTGCGCTTTTTAAAAATAAGCCATGCAGATTGCAGCTATTGCAGTATTTTATTACCAAAACAAAGAGTTCATGGCGACTAATTTTTGATACTATTTTGATGTTACGTCCACGGCCATACGAGATATACGTTCTATTTGCCTCGTTGATCGCCCGAATTGCGCAATAATTACCTGGATCATTGCATTACAGTTTGTGTCATGCAATCGTTGCATACCATAGCTATAGTAATGCCAACCACTTAGGAAGGGTGCCCCTTTTTACCAATGGGTGTTAGGAACGACTTCAGGCAAATGAGTCCTCCTGAAGAAAGAGCGAACGGCTTGCTCAATTACGTTTACAGTAATAACAAATTGCACATACTACCGATTACATTTTACCAATACCGTATGTAACCCAGTTTCGGCGCTGGTCTAGTGACCGCATAAGTTACTTTTCCTTATATTTAAAAAGAGACATCTCCTGTTTGTCAGGGTAGTACACAAAATTTGGCGTTGTATGAGCGCTTGATTTAATTATTTTATAACTCCTTTCTACTTTTGACATCAGCATATTAAAAATTCTTAGTAAGGGGTCGTACGTGATCAGCTGGGCCCCTTTCTAGCAAAAATGGCTGTACCATAATTCTTAACCAGATACAATGAACTGTCTGATGAAAGTGTACAGCGTTAATTGATGAGCTGATGTAACTTTTTTTAAGGACAGCCTTTTCTACATGCAACGTGTCCCACTACTAATAAATACAAGTTCTAGAACAGATGCACGATGAGATTGCACATTTATGTTAGGGGCTTTCCCACATCATTAAAGCTACTACGTTACACATGGTGGTTTATTTGACGGCGGTAGATGCGTCCTGAAGAAGAATCTGTATTTAGACCTGTGGAGCTAGGATAGAAAGAATAATTGAAGGGAACAACTCGATTTTATAAGAAACACTACCAACCAAGCACTAGGTTAATTTGATGACATTTAAATGCGTCACCTTCAAATCCCAATACTGGCATAGCAAACAGATCGTGCATCGTATTTATACTAACAAGTGATAATAAAGTAGGTGGATAAATACCAGTTTCCATCAAATAATGCCTAACTTCAAGACGATTATTTCAGTGAAGCGTTCCACTTAAAGGTTAGACCTTCATATGCTACACCTTCACAAATCAGCAGCTATAAAGTTAATTACACAAGTAACAGGTTTTCAGTTTTGCCGATCTGCAACTCCTATAACAGGTTGCTCGTGATCAGAGAAAAGCTGAAAAATTTCGGAAACTTGAAAACTACTTTTGACACAGTTCTGGAACAATGGCACACCGTTTCTTCAAATATTAGCATATCAAGAGATTGTTATTACACATAACGTAGTAAAAATATTTGTATAGAAAAGTGTGAAATCAAAACACCATTTTTCTGAATTTTATTGGCTTCGTTATCTATTTAGGTATCTTCCCACTAAACTAACTTCGGCTCGTTGTTCCAACAACAGGTGTATGCCGTCAAAAGTAAATTATCTTGCTGCTTTATAATAAGCTATCTACCTATTTTCACGAGTGTTTGTGATTGGCCTGGTTGTATTCCATTGTGCCTATCTAATGATGAGGTATCCGCGCCAGAAGAAGTTGGGAAACAATTTCTGCGCTAGTATCGTAAACTTCTAAATGTTTCATTAATATTAAGCACAACTTATGAATGATCAAATTGCGTTCCTGTGAGGAGGTAATTGCGTATCTTACGGGTCTCTATGTTAAAAATATTAGGTTCAGTTAGATGCAATGACAGAGTATTTTAGCTAACGAGTAACCGATTCATTACAAAGCCGGAAGTAACATCGTGGGACCAGATATGGTTACTAGTTGAGGACATAAACAAGATAGGAACGCTAAGATGCGCTAAAGCTGTACTATATATTCAAGCACCGTTTACAATGTGTTAGAGTTGATTGTTCTCATGTAACTGCACCCTAGACAAATTATTGAATAGCACTAAGAGATGTTTAATGTAATTATTATTCGTTAAACTCTCCCTTCAGATGCATGACTGTGCATTTCGCTACGTCTACCGAGATAGGTTCCTGAATTGAGTTGCTGTTTTTGACCCCAATCTGGGGGATAACAATTCGCAGGAAATCGAAGGACCACACATCGCGAGCCAAAACTTTTCAGAAAGATTTTAAACACCTCCAAGAATTGTAGACCTCTAAATTTATCAAACCAAACGGCACTCATTTATCTATTGTACAAAACTAAGCGACGTTTGGTTTCCCTGTATTTTTAATATTAAGACGAAAGTATCTCAGACGGAAAAGTTCTTGACTGAGCATACGTGCTGAAAGTACCATTGGAAATGAGATATTATAATGGGGCATAAAATAATAACAGGTATCAGGAATTCAACAAAAGATTTGTAATATTATTAAGTTAATAAGGACATGGGAGAGTAGTAGGAGTTTCATGGCATAGGTAGCAATTCGTCACATCTAGTCTCACTCAGACAGAAGTCAAGTGTCCGAAAAAGCACTATACACACTTTTTATCCTTTCTGGTATCGTCAGCCGTGCGCACCCTACCGGACCCTGTTAAGGCTCGAACCCGCAACCTGTCTGTTACCAGGCCGTGGTTCATATCACTGAGCTACGGGGGACGGCAATGACCATCCTGAAAAGTTACTCTATGTGACATAGCGCCGCTCAGTGGTCGTTCTTCGACTGGTGAGGCGGATACCTTGTCCTAAGCACGGCAGTAACGTGTAAGTCAGTAGATAGTAAGCGGCTCTATGTAACATCTAGTAACTTATTCACGATGGTCGTTACCGTCCCCCGTAGCTCAGTGCTCTTAACCACTGGCTGGTAACAGACGAGTTGCGGGTTCGAGTCCTGCCAGGGTCCGATGAAATGCCGTCTGCTGACGTTTCCCGAAAGGAGGAAACGTGTATATAGTGCTTTTCAGGGAGTTTGACGGCTGTCTGAGTGAGTCTAAATGTGATGCATTGCTACTTAAACAAATATGATCATCCCTAGATATTAGCATGGAATTCACGGGATATATACGTTAACTTCGAAAGAAAAATATAGATCAGTTGAATCCTTATGTATTAAGTTAGAAAGGTTACCACATTTTAACGGCACAGCTGCTTTCTTAATGTGCTTTCAGACAAGGTTAATATTAGTTGCTGTTAATTTACAATGGGTTAGTGTCCGCCCGAATATGTGAACCCACAAGTGCGAAATAAACATTGAGTAACTCTAGGTCCCACACCATTCTCTTCTCTATGATTACGTCATATACTTTAGTGTAAAAATAAGGAGTCGATTTTCCCTTATACAGGATCTTGTGGTATTTATCCAGTCGTTTTACTTGCTAATGTGTTGCCTTTACCGGGCCATTGGTTGTTGTCAAACATGAGCATTATAAGCGCTTCTTTACTTGAAGGCAATTAAAGATAAGCAATGGTCCATGGAAGCTTAGCGTATTATCCTAAGGATAAAATAAAAATAATAAATCATAAAAAGAAATACTGCTTAACTTACTTCTAAATCCCATGTTAGTCATGGACAATCCGAACCTAGTTTTTCCGGGAACATTTAAATCCAACTTTGAAGCGGTAGTGATAACCAGGTGATTCTCTGTCCAAGATGAAGACATGGGGACTCTCATAGGTGATTTCTCACGCTCTATAGGTTCCGGCGAATGTGTCGTTTTAATTGATAACCAGACCTCTGGTGTCTGCATTCCGACTGATTTACAATAAAACCCGTTTTCACGTCTGCTTCCACCAGGCTCCAAACCAAGCCATTCTTCTGTCACCTTCTCTACTGTGTACTCGTTAGTTACGTGTCCATCTTGAGACACGACTGTGCGGCAAGTGACATGACGCAATTGATTCTCATAAGGACAACTGCCTGGATCCTCACCAGCGCAAGCGGATATACAGTTTTGGAAGCAAAAAGAATTCCAGGGAGCTATTGGGCAATGAAGGAAAATACTAGCGCCGTCATGGGACACTGCTCCAGCGGTCCGTTCACACTTCACTGTGAGTGGCTTGCCTAAAACAATTTCGTTAGGATTCGGCTCAAATTCTATTTTTAAAAGTTCCTCACGAGCAATATCAACTCCAGCAATTATAAACATAGCTTTAAATGCAAAGGAGAATAACCTTAAATGTACATGTAATTGTCCAGCCATAACAGATGTTGCTTTGAGGTCTAGCTGCTCAATATGTCCCGTCGCGCAAGCAAAGAATCTATATTGACCAGTGATATTTCACACAGTTTTTCAACGATATCAACTAATCCATGATTTCGTCGATCCGCGAGAAAGAACGGGCAATACCACATCCTTGTTTAACAAACGTGTTTTCTAAAATTCCATAACTAAGCAGTGCCTGCAGTCACGTAAATGCCATGCTTGACGCGACTATGTTGTAGTACGCGTTGTGCACCAACTGAGGCCTGTGTGCAAGAAGAAACTTTGCAGCGTGGTAAGTTCACATGCAATTGGTCAAGTTTTCGAGTTAGTCATCAAATGCCGGGTTGGTTGAAAGAGACGCCAGCAATTTCTGTTGGTGGTAGACTACTGGATCCTATATCTGATATCATATAAATATTGGTTTGAATAGATATGAAGACGGATACCAATAACTGTGAAAGTATGTAACTCGGGGTGTGAATGAGAGGGTTGTTATGCGCCGAGAGAGAGAATGCATTAAATTTTGGTCGAAAAAGTGTGAAAGATTGTAACTTACTAACCGTTCACTTGTCTATAATCCACAAGTGAAACAGCATCTCCTTCGCAATTGGATGTGCCAGCGTGCCGAATTGAAGGGACAACGCAAACTATCATTCACGTTGATTTAATTTGAAAAATATTGGTGCTTTCTAACTCGGTATCCTTAAAACATGATACTTACAAATATTAGCTTTGATTGATTCCTTAAGCTTGGCGTTTGTCTAACTTCAATCGTCGCATATATAAATATTAATCAAACAGAATGGTTTGACCAGAGATATTTCGATGTTCGGAACAAGTGGTCAACATGCGGATTTAAGGAAATAAATTGTTCGGCAAAGCAGGGAAAATTGTTAGGGCAGTCAGCAGATGAGTGCTTTGAGGAAATGCTTCCGTCATCTGAGCAACTTTAAATCATTGAGACATAACCTATGATTCAAATGATGTTGGTTAACTATAGCTTTGCACAGAAGCGTACATTGCATCAAAGAGACAAGTTTAAGCTAAACCGCCTCATAAACTATCAGAAAATGGATAGTCTCGCCATATATATGTAACAGACTATTCTGTACATTTTAGTGTACTTACATTTAACGAAGTGTTAGTGACTAAAGAAAAAGTCTCAAATTACTTAGTGTGTTGGGGTATCCACATAAATATGAGGAAATTTGAGTTATACTGTGAAATGATCTGCACCGGATTTACTCAAATAATCTCACGTAATTACATACACTAAATTGAAAAATTTGTGACTCTTTTCGCAATCATTCTCGACCACGGAAAGGTTTGTGCAAGTAATGTCCATGTTTACGAAGACTAATCTTAAGAACGCTGATATCCACACCAACATCTATAGTCGCAGTTCGGTCTATGCCACTACTGCGCTCGACTTTTCGCGGTCTTGTTTGTGGGCAACCTCATTTCTCTCAGTTTGTAGTGGCCGTGCCGATAAGTCAGTAATACATACTCCAATTCAACTTGTTTGCAAGCTCTCCATCACTTATGTCCATAACACATCTACCCGCCTTTTGGAAACAACCTTTCCAGCTCAAAATAATTTTTGGATAAACTCATTCATCTGTACCAAGTTGCTAAGCCGTGCTCAGCATAACCATTCAACAATGCTTTATCTCTTTCTTTAGCTGGAAACATGGGAAATTAGAAACTGTTTCTATCTTGTTCACACGATATAAAAAATGGCTGGTGAATCGAATTAGTTCGAGGGTTTCACTACTGTTCGGTTCTCACTTCCACATCTACGCGATTGGTGGTTTGTTTCAGGTTGATTTTAAACAAATAACATCATATGAACTAGATACAATTCTGTTTAACCTTGTTAAATTTAAGACCAGCCAAGCAAATTGCTTAAGGCAAATAAGCTTATTACGATTTGAATAACGTCGACCAAAGGCAGGAATTTCAGACTTCAGCCAACCTTTTAAAAGCCATGGTTACTGAAAGTGCGGGAGTAAACCGTCCAGCTGTGTCGCACCATGATGTCACATTTCCTGATATGTGTATGAATATCAATCCAACGGATATGATGATTGAAAGGCAGATAATATTTAAGCGAATAACCAACCGTCCTCCATGAACGTTGACGTGTACCAAACATATGTGAGCAGAACCAGTGATAAAAGTGTCCTGAGCAGTAGCAAGGTACTTCTCGACAACAGATGGAGTAAGCAAGTATTTTTCGACATGGAACTCAGATGGAATTATTCCTACGCTCTCAGAATATGGGTGGCAAGCATAGGGATTCTGTGGCTGCGTATGTTCAAAAAGTTAACTTTTGGGTCCCTATATGGATCAGGAAATAACATTTTCTTCCGCCCGTCGTCAAGGAAACAGTCCTAACAGGAAAAATGCTAATCACGAATTTAGAAATCAAACCATCAGAACTGCGAAATCGAAAAAGTAATTTAATGTGAGTGATGAAACGTCATTCTGACTTTGGCTGTTTAAAAGATTTCGACAGGGTTTTTTCGATTAGCGACGCGCGCTATTTTTCAATCGCATTATCACAACACAGTTATCGCTTCAAATTTCCTATTTGAACATTTAAAAGTGTTTAATTGAGTTATTTCGCAAGCGGTCACTTGACTGTATGACAGTTCGTGAATCCGAGGCCCAACTTTGAGATGACCAACTTCCTACTCAGTTGACAGTTTTCAAGTATTAAATCTGAACAAGCGTTGAACTCTTCGCAAACAAAATTTACATTTCATCACATGTATTAAACATTATATTCCGTATTGTTTGGCCCTGAAAGTCTTAATTATTGTTGTGTGCAAATAAGCCTAATGGTTAATTTTGAGAAAATTTCATGGCGTTTCCTGCCTCAGTCATAAATCTGACAATGATTTCCTTGATAGTTCGTGACCTACCGAATTTTGATTATTCACAGGATAATATGTTTATGTTGTCCGTTATGTGAAGAACGGGTTTCCTTTGGAGACGGCGATATCGAGAGCGAACCATCAGCCTGCAACAGCTGTACCCGCTAATCAACATTAACATATTTCTCCTATGGTAACGGGAAGGTGACTAAAATGTTTCTTCCTGAAATGGCTTAATTTTATTTATAATTCACATTGGGTTTCATTGTGTTGCTACACATCCAAATTTGTTTGTCACAAATACTTCTCCCCGTCATGTTTGAACTTATCGTCGCTTATTAGAAGAAGCCGTGCATTCTAACACTTCGTTAGCCTAAATGTTTTAATTTGACCCTCTTCATAAACTTTATGTTGGCCGCTTTAGAGAAACACAAACTGCATGCCAAAATGGGCACATAATCATTTGCGGTTCAGCATGGACAGTCAGGGACTTCAGTGGGGGTTCCTCTCTCAGTATGGAGTTCATCATTTTGACATAGTGGGATTACAGTTGTACCGCCTGCAGTATTCGCCAAAGCACGTAACTGTCAAAACATGTAAACTTTGGACATGTTTGTCAGCGTAAACACGAGTTTGATTTGAAAGAGATGGAGGAGCAACTGATTCCTTTCGGTTAGAGTTATTCAATTCCACCGGAAAATGAAAAGATTGGATGCATACAACTCGACGTATATGTCAGTCAATCTGTCGAACACAGTGGTACAACATAAAGTGTAAGTTGGTATCGTTTTTCTCCATAGCCGGTAGCGCTGACAAAACAGGGCATACAAACACAAATATGAAATGCTGCGACAAATTCGTCGGTATATAGTTTTTAGTGTGCATACAATACAGCACTAGACTCGGATTTTGGTATTAAACTAAAAGATAAGTAAATAGCTACGTTTTTCTACGATGAAGAACTAGTGCTGACTAGATACAGAGCGACAAATATCAACAGAACTGATTGTAATTCGATTTCTATTGAATCAAAATATCTCCAAGTTACAGATACTAATATACTTACAAATATAAATGAAATTGGGTGCGGCATATGCCATGCACCGCTTACTGATTACTGGTTTAAAACAGCAAAAGGCTATCTCTTTGTAGGTGCATCGAATATTACTCAGGTACAAAGACCCGATACGTTGGAGGGTGCTCGATATATTTTATCCCGACGAAATGCTTGTCCATCAAGTTCTTAAATTCCAACACCGATTTTTCCTCAACTCCGTGCTGCGGCAGGTAGTTCCATGCATTCACCAGCCCCCGCTCGAATATGTGATGGTGGGTGACCCCCTTTAAATGCGGCACTACAAGCTTGTACCGGGGTCCTCGTGTGCTGCTTGGTGTGCGCAGATAAACCAGCTGCCTCAACATAGGGTAATCAACCAGATATAATATACGGTGCGTCATGATGAGATCAATCCGCAGCCGACGATAAGCTAGAATGTAAAGTCCGAGTTTCTTACACCGGTCTTCCTTCGACACACCTCGTAACTTGGGATTCAGTCTGGTGGCCATATCCTGAACTCGCTCAATCCTGTCTACCCCACTTCAGGTGATAGGATAATATGCGGGAGAGCCATACTGTATCATACATCGTATTATTGAGACGAAGAGGGGAGTGATAATCTCTTCGGACCGTCCTATACCTGCGTCTGAACGCCCAAAACACACAAAGGCCGTTTTGGTAAACCCTATTCGTGTTGTTCATGGACTTCAGGTCGCAGCTTGGGAGCACACCGAGGTCTCACACGGAAGGCGTGAGATGAACGGTTGACCTGCCACAGCGTATGTTCGACTGTGCTCACACCTACTCAGCCTCATTAGTTGTGACTTGACCGGATTAAACGGATTATTGATCTCAGCAGGCCACGTGGAGAGTAGGTCGGTGGAGCACGAGCGACCTTTCACGAACACACGCTATGCGAGGGTCTAATAGCTTTTCGACTTTGGAAGCTACAGAGGAATCTTCTACAAGCTATTCTCAAGCTTCTTTGCCAAAACAGCGGTCATACAGATCTACCGGTATTTATGCATTTTGCTTGGGTCATCACCTGTCGGTGCTGGCTTTACGACTGAACACTTCCAGTCGCCCGGTAATAGACCAGTGGATAGTGACCTGTAGAACAGCACAGTTACAGTAGCAACATGATAGCCGATAGTGAGTTAAGGATAAGGGGGTGAAATCCATCTTGCCCGGCAGGCTTTGTCCTGTCAAGGCTTACCAAAAGCTTGCATATATTTTTCATACTGCATTTCAGGCTTTTTTGTTCAGCGGCAGCAATACTCTTCGAACTCGGTACAGACACCTAGTCGCTTGCAAATAAGGAAACAAACTGCAC